TGCGTGCGTGCGTGTGCGTGCATGCGCCTGTGTGTGCGTGCGGGTGCGGGTTTGGGGTTTGACAGGAGTATGGAAGCCGTATGTATAGGAACCTTAATAGGAACCCCAAAGAGCCCTTTGTAACGGAAACCCGTCAAGGACCCTCACTGGAAGTAGTTCTTCAGGTCGGCATGGTAGGGTGTGGGGGTTTGGGTTTGCAGTGCCTACCACGAGATGTTTGTTCACAGATCTGGTGCGTAGATTCGGCGTAGATCGTAGTAACAAGGTGGTCGAACTACTTTCTTTATGGTTCCTAGATGTTACATTAAAATATAGCCTAAACCCTATTCAAACTTGTCTAGGGCCAGCACACCAGTATGTGTTCCAAGTTCCTAACTCTGAACTTGACGGCAAAGATTGGTTTTGCGATGTACACCTTAATCCCAGGTTACCCTTGGAAGATTTCCAGCGGTTGACCTTGCTGCTTCCCTTGGCAAGGGACCCTTGCTCCAAGTTATTTCGTCTACCTAGAGTGTCTCCGAACGCGTGTACGACAAGTTCAGAAGAAAACTCTGAGCAGTCATTCATCAACAGCATCGACTCTTTCACCATCATATTTGTGCACAGTCATAGATGGGAAAGGACAACCGATAACCCCAAACCCTAAATCCTTAAATCCTAATACTGCAACAGTGACGGGCCGACTCTGAACCCTTCCAAGGACGAACGCCCCGAAATCTGCAAACCTCACGGAATGGGCGCCCTTAACCTAGGGGCACCCTTTCTGAGGGTTGCCTGCGATGAGGATCCGAGAACACAACCTGCCACCTTGCACCTTACCCTATACCCAAGCACTAAGTGGACGTCCTACGCCCTGAACCCTTTCCTCCAGCTCTCAACAATACGCCGAAAGCTAAAGCCCTACAAAACCCGCAAAACCCAAAACCCTGAACCGATGCCGAGGCACTGCAGCGGTATCGCCAGGACCTGAACAGCTGCAAACGTTACCCGCGCTGGGAATTTCTTTTGAGATCTCGTGTGGGAGCCTAACAGTTACAGTGCCATGACATGAGGTTGTAAAGGCTTAGAGCGTCATAGGGCTTGATGGGTTGTTCTTCAGGCGCTGCGGAAACCCAGTTGATTTCCCATAGTCGGCAAGCGCCATGCTCGCAATATGATATGTTCGTCGTAATTGGAGCAACTAGGACTGAGTCTGTCGACAAGAACCCAGTCACGGCACGAGGATGAGAGCAATGCGTCTTTCCACTGGTGATACTGATGCTCTGGTGCTGCTGGTGGTGGTGGTGCT